CTGGCTTTTTTTTCTGAGAATTCTGACTTTTTTCTGAGAATTCTGACTTTAATCTCAGAATTCTGGCTTTTTTTTCTGAGAATTCTGACTTTTTTCTGAGAATTCTGACTTTAATCTCAGAATTCTGACTTTTTTCCCATATTAAACTAAAAATAAAATTTAAATATTTGTTAACTTTTTTATCTTTTCATAAGGAACCAAAAAATAAAAGGAATGGCAGATAATAATGACATAATTATTAACATGACAACAAAGGGATTCATGTTAGGACTGATGGACATCGGGGGGCAAACCCATCAGTATTTCATTCCCCTGTTATAAACTTTAAACGCATTTCATCTAGGTTCTGGAAGCTAACAGCGCCTAGCAGACGAAACCGGAAGTGCGTGGGGGATTGTCCTCCTCTGTCGTAATGGCCGCCGCTGCAGCAGGAATAAACAAGCAGGGCGCTGGAGCGACGATGGAGCCCTGTCTCCGGCATGGAAGGGGAGCCCATGGAGGCAGCGTCAAGGTTAGAGTTATGTCACCGACTATAAACAGACACAGTCTAATGGCCGCCCGGGGTTTGTTTAGCCAATTCTGCTCTTAATCGCCTTCATGGCTTCTTATAAAAAAAAAAAAAGCTAATGTTGCTGCGTTGGCGTTGGCAACGGCTGCCAAAAGAGGATCTACCTTCACTTTAATATGAACTGCGTCTGTATATTTTTTTCATAATAGTGTTGCTCTCTTGTTATTCTGAGAAATAAATCTAAAAATGTGCTAAACTGCTTTTGGTGTTTCCAGGCGCTGCAGCATGCTAACAGGCTGGCTATGTCTCCATCGCTACTAGTTTAGGATCACTGCAGCAAAACTCACATTTTGTTGAGCTGCAAGAGAAAAACTGCGTGTTTGCTTAAAGTAAAACGGATAAAAAATACTCTAGATCAGGGTCTGCAACGCTTCCCAGGCGCAGAACCTTGAAATGATGGAGCAGGGACCCCATAATTAGATGAATTGTATGAAATAGTGTTCTATCAAACTGGTCCTATAGTCACTCTATTACATATGGAGCAATGCAGCGAAAGTAATTTCTCCCTGGGATTGTTAAAGTATTTCTGATTCCTGGTTGATGGGACAGGTGTTGTGATGAAACGGTGTCCAGCTTGAAAGAGCTCCTGTGTGTCGCTGAATGTGAGCATTGATGACTGAAAGACATCTTCTGCCTCCATTTATCTGTTTACTTCAGTGTGTTGAATTCATGATAATGTGGATTTAAAGGCATTTTAATCAGTGGAAAAAATTGCAGGAGGGAATAGATATTAAAAGAAGTCTAATCAACCAAAACTTTGGCGACCCCCATTTGCAGTACCTCTGTGGACCCCTAGGGGTCGCGGACCCCCTGTTGATGACCTCTGATCTAGAGGTCTAATGTGATTTTCAGAAAGGTAATCTGAAAAGTGTAGCTTGTATTTATGTCTGCCAATTCTTTAATCCAGTAATCAGAATCTGTGTCATTTAATCTCAGAGTAAATCCATATTTGTTGTAAATCCTAAGCAAACAATATAAAGACTTGGGCTGAGTAAAAAAAATCGATTTAATCGATTTTGAAGCGATTCCTTTACATTTTTGCACAATCAATGTCTAGAATGAGATCGATTCATTTTATAGTGACGCGCGTGACGTTAATTTAATCATTCATTCAAATGAGCAGGAAAGATGCTCTCAAGATTACTCCGAGCCAGACAGCTGCAAATATAGCCAATAGGTTGACTGAAGACATTAACAAATGGGGGCTGAACAGAAAACACCCTGTAGTTGTTAGAGACAACACTGCTAATATGGTTTGTGCAGTGGAGATAATGCAGCTCATGCATGTCTGCTGTGTCACGTCTGTTTGCTCGAGTGAGGCTTCACTTTTTCACTTTTCACAAACAAGTTTCCCCTTTTAGACAGTTTTGTTCACATCTCAAATTTAAACTTTCTGATTTACAAGTTTGCACTTTGTGTTTAATATGACAGGAAAAAATAAAATACAGGAGTATTTTGAAACACAGTTGAACCACTTTCATTATTGTAAAAACAGATTGAATCTAAATTAATCGATTTAGAATTGTGTGAATCAAAATGGAATCGATTCAGGACTTTGGCCAAGTAGTTTATGCTGGTGAAGATTCTCACTCATCCAGGTCATAGTCATTCCAAAAAAAAAAAGAAAATAAAAAAAACCACTGGACTTTATTTCCAAGTTTGAAGACGTTTCACCTCCCATCCAGGAAGCTTTGTTTTCACATTTAGAATTGAAAAAGTGAAACATGTTCAAACTTGGAAATCTGTAAATTAGTTTTTAAATTAAATGATTAATAATCAATAGCAAAAAGTTCCTTAAATAAGATGTTTTGCAGCATTAAATCTGGTAAAACTAAATATTTTCTGGAAAGAGCATATTGACAGAAGAAAAAGTTTTTTTAATCTTAAATGGATGTTTACATATTTATTTTACAATTTTGATATAATTACTGCTCTAAATGTGTTTCTCTGTTGGCTAACGGCTGGTTTTAGAGTTTCTATTTTCCAATTAATGACTAATTGCATACTAAATTAGTTAACGATTATTTCAATAATGACTTATCCAATTAATTAACTATTTTAGCTCTAATGCCAAACTTCACTTTTAGCTGTTCGTCTGTCATCCTGCAGCGGACCCCCTGTTGAAGAGCTCCGCACTAGGATTAAAGTTGACATTATGATCTTGATCGGTTTGACTTCATGTTGGAGCAAAGCATCCTTCTGCCTGAGCTCATAGTGAGCGCTCCCCCCACCATGCTGCTTCCAGGATCACTAATATTCATTCACTTTTGTCTCTTGCAGGTGTTGGAGTGCGGTGTGTGTGAGGACGTGTTCTCCCTGCAGGGGGATAAGGTCCCTCGCCTTCTGCTCTGCGGTCACACGGTGTGTCATGATTGTCTCACCCGGCTGCCTCTGCACGGCAGAGCGGTCCGCTGCCCCTTCGACAGACAGGTCACAGAGCTGGGTGAGTTACGCATGGATGGTTGGATGGTTCTCCTGCACACTGGATGCCGATACAATCTTTTTAGGAAAGTGAAACCAAACTGACTGAAGGTTAAGAATTGAATTTCCCAGAGTGCTTTGCAAATGATCACCTTTAATTGGATTTTTAGTCATTAATCATCTAGGGCAGGTGTCTTCAATGATTTCTGGTTTAAGGACCCCCAAACTGATGGAGTGGGGACCCCATAATTATATATATTGTATTAAATTGTGTTATATCAGACTGGTCCTATAGTAAAAACAAACAAAAACTGCAAAAACAATCTAGAAATAAGTATAAATCTCTTAAATTAAGAATATTTACCCTTAATTTGACTAGTTAAATGAGATGATTCGCTAATGGAATGAAGTTTTTTACTCTTAAAATAAGATTATTAGATAACATTCACTTGAAATAAGATGATGCATTTGTTTAATCTTATCTTCAATGTAACTGGTCTCGTTCCATCGGCAAATTCCTCAAATCAAGAAAATAAATGCACGCACTTTAAGAGAAAAATGACTTAGATTTCAGTGTTTTGCAGTGTATGTTTGATCATTTCTTAGTGAACACGCATATGGATCCCAGCAGGAAGGCGCCGCATTGCCTGAATATCACAGCTGCACAGTTTGCATAAATATATAATCTGTCAGGGAAATTAAATAGCATCAACTTCCATCTCTGTAACGAATGGGGAAAGGCGAGGGTGTAGCTTTGTGATGAAAGCTGGTGAGGAGGTGGAGGCTGATGGAGCTACAGTTACTCGACACAAACGCTTTCATTAGGTTTTTATATTTTACAAAAATGAACTCAAACATATATTTATTGAATGCTTTCCTATTGTTGAGAACACAAAATAACCAAAATACACTGATATTTATGTTTATGGGTATTTAGACATTAATGTATTTAAAAAAGAAAGGATGAATAACAGCCAACAGCTGTTATTGTTTTTGCTAATCTATTAATCCGTAGATTATGATGGTGAAAATTCTCACTAATCCAGATCGTAGTCATTCCATTAAAAAAAGAAATAAATAAAAACAATTTACTGGACTTTATTTCCAAGTGTGAAGATGTTTCGCCTCCCGATCCAGGAAACTTTTTTTCACATTTAGAACTGAAAAAGCGAAACATGTTCAAACTTGGAAATCTGTAGATTTGTTTTTCAATTAATGATTAATAATCTACGGAGCCCCTAAAGAGACATGGAGAAAAAAATAAAATTTGCGAGATCCCACAATACTTTTGCGAGATCCCGCAATATTTTTGCGAGAGCTCGCAAAACGCTTTGCCATGTCAGCGAACCGAAAGTTAAACACACAACAGTGGAGGTGCAAAGTGTACTGCTATGGGATGATAATACGCCCATGTGTCAGCTACAACCATGGAGGAAGATTTGGAGAGGTTCTTAATTTATAGACAAGTCCCAAAACCCGACATTACACGAATGAAGAGAGACAAGGTCAGTATGCAATCCTACGGAGCCCCTAAAGGGACATGGAGGGAAAAAACTAACTTTTAAGAGCAACAGTTTTGCGAGATCTCGCAAAGGCGATGTCCCTTTTGGGGCTCCGTAATAATTAATAGCAAAAGGTTCCTTAAATAAGATGTTTTGCAGCATTAAATCTGGTAAAACTAATTATTTTCCACTTGAGGAGTTCTGGATAGAGGATATTGACAAAATGTTTACATATTTCTTTTGCAGTTTTGGTATAATTACTGCTTTAAATGTGTTTCTCTGTCAACTAAAGGCCTGTTTTAGAGTTTCTATTTTCCAGTTAATGATTAATTGAATGCTAAATTAGTTAACGATTATTTTAATAATGATTTGTCCAATTAATCAACTGTTTTAGCTCTAATGCTAAACTTTGCTCATCACATTTAGCTGTTCGTCGGTCATCCTGCAGTGGAACGAGAATGGCCCAACCTAAAAGGAGAACATTGTTCAAAAAGAAAGACCTGTTTAATCAGATGGAGCTTCAGAAATGCATTTAAAAAATTAATTAAAAAAAAAGGCTATAAAATAAATAGGAAAAAACATAAGAAAGGTGGTGGAAAAAAATGAAAAAGCTCTGATCAGATGATCTCAAACACAGAATCCCTACAGAGATGCATGGTGGTGGCAGCATTATGCTGTGAGGAGGCTTTTTTTTACAGCATTACATCTTTTGTTGATGTGGTTTTAAAAAAATCCAATAAAAATCATCAGAAAAAACCCCAAACTGAACAGGTTTGAATACTTTTAGAAGGACCTGCAGGTTTTAGGACTGAAAGGTGTCTCTACCTGGACAGCCAAAGAAAAAAGGTTATCACTATTAATCACTATTAAAGCAGAAGCAACAAAGGCACTGTGATATCTTTCAATTGGTTTTATTGCATCAGGCTGTTATTTTCACTGAAGCCTTTGCAGTGCAGGTATTTCCTAATTTTCCTACTGTCATTATTGCAGGAAGGATTCTTTTAAACCAGCGGAAAACATAAAAAAGTAAAAGATGTTTGTTTCTGTCTGTCTTTGTAGGGGACTCTGGAGTTTGGGGTCTAAAGAAGAACTTTGCTCTGCTTGAACTCCTGGAGCGACTCCAGAACGGAGCGAGCAACCAGTCAGGAATGGCGGAGGATGTTTTGAAAGGGATGGGAGAAGTAAGGCGGTCACCTTCACACCTTCTTCCGTCTCCTCAGCTTGTTGGTTTTAACCGTATCGCTTCCTCTCCGCAGTGTATAATCCGCTGCGACGAGGACGAGAGCCACACGGCGTCCGTGTACTGCACGGTGTGCGCCACGCACCTGTGCGCAGAGTGCTCCCAGCTCACCCACTCCACCCGCACGCTGGCCAAACACCGGCGAGTGCCGCTGGCTGATAAACCTCACGAGAAGATGCTCTGCCCGCAGCACCAGGTTCACGCCATCGAGTTTGTCTGTCTGGAGGAGGCCTGCCAGTCGGGGCCTCTCATGTGCTGCGTGTGTAAGGAATACGGCAAGCACCAGGGACATAAGGTGGGTTGAGAGGCATACAGGGAATGGCTGAAGGACTCGCATCTTCTGAACGTTCCTGCATTTTGTTAGGTTCCAACCGCAAACAGAATTAGCACCTTTCATTCATGCAGCTCAGGAGCTTTGTGTGGTGGCAGCATCATGCTATGGGGAGGCTTTAATGTTGCAGATGCTGATCCTTTGCCATTATGATCTTTGTATTCTGCAGACCATTTGGACTGCAGTGTTTGTTAGCTGATATCATTTCCTGCCAATAAAGATATTCAGCCTATTGGTTAGAAGCTCAATGAGAAACAAGGAGGCGATTTAAAGTGGAGCACTTTGATGAGAAGGAACCAATCCGAATCCGGGGCAATAATTCAAAACTTATATTAAAGTATGGAGTGAAATTTGGTCCATTATTTTTGCAACAAAGAACATGTGTGTAGATGGAAATTAGCAAAAAAAAAATTCAAGCAAAATGAAACTTTGAAGAAATCTAATTAAAAAGAGAGAAGACGAAGAAGAAGAGAGTGTAACTGTGCTGTTTTTTCAGATTTTATTCTTTTTTTTTTATCTTTTTCCATATTTTGTTGAATTATTATTATTTTTTTTAATTTACTTTTGGAGAAAAAAGGCTTTAAAGGAATAGTACACCCAAAACATGATTAGCCTTCATTTTCTACTCACCCCCATGCTGAACAACACTCTGGAGTACTT